TTAATCTATTAATTTTAGTAATTTTAACACTGTTTTAGGGGGTTTTGATTGAAAATTGTTTGGGATTCTAATTCAACGGACCGAAACCTCCGGACTGTAAAAAAAAGTAGTTTGACCGGATAATGCGTAATTAATTATACGGTTTTGTTCGCCAGCTCCTCAATAGGGGTGATGACGGGGTACAGTAAACGAAATTCTATCTAGTCCGTCAGTTAGATGATCAAAAAATAATGAACACGTATTTTTTCTTAGACCAACCAAAAAATGACAAAGTTATAGCGCGTCAAAGTTTGGGAGCAGGGGCTCGTTACGTTACTTTTAATTGAAAATTGTACCAAAACGTGACGTCATGCGACTTTTCAAATCAATATATCTTTGCAATGTTATGTTATATTGTGTGAAAAAAGAAAAAATACGTGTCCAATACTTTTTGATAATCTACCTGATAAACTGAGAAAAAAATAGTCATCGTCCCTATTGTAATACCCCTAGAATAAACCCTTAGCATGGTGCAGTCTACCTATTCCATCCATAGGGAAGGCCTGTGCCCCAGCAGTAGGGACAAAATAGCCTGATGATATGTCATTCAAGTGGTAATTTTTCATATTCAAAGATATCTTCGAATTTTTATATTAATTAGATGAATAAAAAAAACTGAAGTGAAACTTCTTTAGCTCCATCGCTATGTGTATATATATATATATATACATATGTGTACAATATATACATGTATATACATATTTAATTTACTAAGTATATATATAAGAGAAAGAGAGAAATTAAATGTGCGCGCTGCTTTCTCTTGTTTATATCTCCCACTCAACTCCCGTTCGCCTCGCCCGAACACACTTTTCGTAACGCGTAACGCATTCGCCAGCTTTTACCCCCCAAGTCAAGCGTGCGTAAAGAAGTTTCACTTTAAAAAGTTAAATGTGTAGTTTTTTTAAGATGTGATAAAATTTACATGATTTTAAATGAAATGTATATCAAAGTCTTGTCTTGCTATTTGGAGCCTCCTGTATATTATAATCTAAAAGAAAAATGGGTGCGTGTACTTATGTAGGCGCGTGAGAAGTTATCCTTCTTTGGCATCGTTTATAATTGGTTTTTAATTGCATGCAAATAATTAATAAAAAGTCTGGAAAAGGACACAGTCAATAAAGTTCAGTTTTAATTTGAAAAAATAAATAAATAATCAAAATATTCAATTAAAATCGCTACTGAATATAATTTATTACAACATATGTGATTTGCACTTGTATGAAACTCAAACACGTATTCCGAATATACAAACTAGAAACATGTGGATAAATATTATAAATATGAATACCTATAACTGTTACTTTATTACAAAAAATAAAGATGTGGTTTTTGGTTCTACTACACCAATGGTCAAGAGATGGCGCTGTAGTCTCCTGAATCGCGCTTTGGTTCCGTTGTTCCAGATTAATAAATACTTTTGATAGGCCTTCACAATGCAGTCGTTAGCACCCACTAAATAGAGATTCTATTTCTATTTTGTTGGTAGATTTTCTTAATGTGCGGTAAACACAAAAGTAACGCATGAAATCATGCTGTTAAAATTTTGTGTTACAGTGATGCGCGCGCATCTTAAAATTTCACTCTCATCATTTTTTCATAACGCGCCTAAAGAAGTATAACTTCAAAAACTTTTATATCGGCACTTCACTTGGTTATTATTTTTTGCTATTTGTGACCTCGAACTTTTTAAACATCAGCCTGTCCTTTTGATTCTTTACAAAACATAAATGAATAAATATTTCCAACACCAATTAGCCTAGCTCCAAAGTAATCATTGTAGGCATGTGTTATGGGATATTAGGGTAACGGATGGAATACATATACTGATACATATATAAGAATTTTTATATAGAAATACATATTAATACACATATAAGTATTTTTATATAGAAACTAGCTGACCCAGCGAACTTCGTACCGCCATAAAAAAATAGGGGTTGGTGGCAGAAAGTTGAAAATTTAGGGTTGTATGTATTTTTGTAAGATGTATGATAAAAAAAAATTTAAAAAAAATATCTAAAATTGAAAAAAAAATTAGGGGTGGATTACCATTAACATTTAGGGGGATGAAAAATAGATGTTTTCACACACAATTTCATGAGAATCGGGAAAGCCGTTTCGGAGGAGTTTAACCACAAACACCGCGACACGAGAATTTTATATATTAGATACATGTTTATGTTTCAAGTTATGGGACTGGAGTACAAATGCTCGTATTCATCGCCAGGGCTTGTTTACCGGTTAATTTTCAAACCTTAATCAGTGTCAAGTACATTAGGAGCGTTTTATTTAGGTTTGCCTCTACATTCTCCGACCATACGACCTCCGTGGCCGAGTGGTTTGTACGCCGGCTTTCATGGTGTCGCTGACTCGAGAGGTCCCGTGTTCGAATCCCGGTGGGGGCAGATGTTTGTGTGATGAATACGTGCATTTGTACTCCAGTCATGGATGTTTAATATGTATTTCTATATAAATATACTTATATATGTATTCTATCCGTTACCCTAGCATCCCATAACACAAGCCTTATAGTGCTTACTTTGGGGCTAGGCTAATTGGTGTGTGTGTCGGAAATATTTATTTATTTATTAACCTTAAAAAACCGGTTTACTTAAAAAGCGAAATCAAATAGGTTTTGAATCAATTTAGCGGTTTTTAAAGGGTTTTATTTCGCTCTTACTGACGGCTGAAATAAATACACAACTACAAAATGAATAACTTGACTCACTAGACGCTAGCAAACGTTTCAATAAAAGCATCAATCTTTGAGCATTAACAAGTTGTGACTTGATTAGTTTAAACAAAACAAACTTCAAGCGATGCCGACGCGTGCACGTGTCGCTCTGGATTAAACCGGTTTATTAGGTACCGCTTTCATTTCGGACGCGCTCCGAACGAAACCTTTACTAAAAACGGGTATTAACCTTTATTTACCGGTATTTTTGAAACCGGTTTCAAGCCCTGTTCATCACACAAACATCTGTGGCCACCGGGATTCGAACCCGGGACCTCTCGAATAGGCGGCACCATGAAACCTGGCATACAAACCACTCTGCCACGCAGGTCCTCAAACATGTTGAGATCAGATTGTTGTCAAGTGTACAAATAGCGAACACGAATAGCCAAGCGAAGTGCCTGTATTGACATCAGCTGCTAAATTTACGAAGCAGATAGTCAAACTGTTATCGACGGACAGTAATTTCGAAAACTATTGCAGGCGATAAAATGGCAACTTGTCACTATTTCTTCCGAACAAATCAGACCTGAAAGAAATAAAAAGTATATATAGTTAATTTAGAGGATTTCAATAGAGATAATGCAACAATATTAAATATCTTAGATACACCACGTGCGGTTAAAATGTGTCCCAATCAAGAAGTGCTTGAACATGACACAAGCACTTCTTGGTTCACAGTCACGCGCGGACCGTTGAAAAGTCAACATGCCGCAGAGCTCCGGGAAAAAATGCGAAATAATAACTTATATTACGTAAAGTATCCTTTATTCGACAGGTATCCAGTAGATGTTTGTTAATTTAACGCATTTGAAGCAAATTATGTTCTAATACTTACTATAAACTGATTTAATAGAAAATATTTGTATTATCACAAATGTACGGTCGCCGAGCAGAGAGAATTATGTACAATGACCCCACGCTACCCATCCTTATCGCTCGCGCGCAATAGGGTATTTGACAGTATTAAAAATAAAGTGCCATATGTTAGCATCTGTGTTTAGAATGAATATTGCCAGGGGTATTTACTATTTTTACAAAATAAATATTCATAATTTTACTAAAAACCCACGCAAAAGATAATAGTATTCTTATCTATTGTCACGTGACCCAAAACGCTTGGGATTGGCGGAGCCTAAAATGTCGTCACACGCAAGTAAACTTTCGGTTAAAGTGACATTACATTGTATCGTTTGACGTTTTAATAACCGTCGTGTGACGTCACACACTAGTGAGACGCCATATTGTCCAGAGAAACGTTTTCGCGGCAACTTGAAAATGGAGTTTTTCATTTGGTTATTTTTACTGAAATACACAACAGTAAATCAAGTCAAAGTAAGTGGCAGTCAAGTCAATCCCCCTTTCCCTATTTTTCAGTAAAAGTGTGGGGAAATCCCCACACTTTTACTGAAAAAAGTACATCCGGTAAATACCGGAACCTCACCGTGGACTTATTGAGGGAACGTCGAAAGACACTTCCCGCTATTTTGTTTCACTTGCCAACACTTGTGCATATTCCCGAACACTTAGTGGTTAATAATCCACCAATAATAGGCACTAACATCCGCCACAACACAATTTTTAACAAGAAAAACAAAACTGCTAAAGTGACGCTTCCCGATCCCGCCAAAAAGTCCTAAACAAAATATGTGAAGTAAATAAGTGATTTATACTTGTAAGATACTAGTTGTATATGCAGTGTAAAAGGAATAATGTTTTAAACAACCACAACAAATATTCTATCAGTTTTGTTTAAAACTAGTATATGATTTGTTTCTTGGCGAAAGCGTGATAAAGACAGTCTGTTGACAAGTTTACAAATAGCAAATACGAATAGCCAAGTGAAATGCCGACATATGTCACCCGGAAACAATAGTGACAGGTTGTCAGCATATTGCCTATGTTTTCCCATCCGTCAGTACGTTATTTCTTTCTGCAGAAGCAACTTAATCAAGCATATTTTCGATATTCCGCATATCTGCTATATCAAGTAATATTTATGTATTTTAAACGCGTTGATTCTGATACAACAACATTTTGTCAATTTTATTATAAATATCTTGTGGTTATTTTTTTACATAAAAAAATATTTCGTTATTATTGTTATTCCACATTTCTTCTTATTAAAATCATATTTCTTTATTTTACTCATTTTTTCAAATATAGATCAGCTATTAAAAATTTTTTTGGTAAAAAATTATAATTATGAACAATTATTTCGTAGGGCAAAATACAATGAAAAGACCGTTCTTCTATAGTGAAAGCCCTCACTATGCCAGCCCTCCATTACTGCACAGATATGAGGTAAGAATTACTTAAATACAAAAAAACAAAACTATTGTAGTTCAAAATTTAGTATTTTTATGCTTAAAATTTGTGCATAATTATCAAAAATTTAGTTTATTATGCTTAAAATTTGTGCGTAATTATTTAAAATTATAATTTATTATGTTTGAAATTTGTGCGTAATTATTTAAAATTATAGTTTATTATGCTTGAAATATGTGAGTTACTATTTTAAATTATAGTTTATTATGCTTGAAATTTGTGCGTAATTATCGAAAATTTAGTTTATTATGCTTGAAATTTGTACGTAATTATTGACACTGATTTGAACGCAGGTTTCATTTGAATCTTTTACGATTTCTTTGTAGAAATTTAACCAATATCTAGTTTACGTACACACGTTGCTCGGAAGTGATAGTGACAGTTCTAATAAGCCCATAATAGTTAACGAATTTTACGCGTTCGTTGAGCAACAACACTATTTGCCGTGAAAAAAAAACATGTAGGTATCACATGCCATGTTTTTCTCTCACTTCCAGTCCAACTTAAGATATTAAGGCTGCGTTGTTTGGAACAAAGTTTTTGACTTTAGTAAAATATTAGAGAAAAAATAGCCATTTGTCAAAATTTGACACATTTACTATGCATTTGACGTGACATTAATTATAGTAAATTTAAATACACATGAAACAGTGCAGCCTAAAGGTCGATTTTTCAATTCTCGAATAACATTTATCTGTCGTACATAAGTCGTGTCTTAACCAAATTAATATCATCGTCTAAACAATACAACTCTTTGTCCGTTTAATACGATTCATACGAAAAATTATTATCCAGGGATTGAAAGATCATCTTTGAAATGGAAGAAAATCATTTAAACCTTATTTATTGCTTATGTTATCATACAGCAATTATTTAATAAAAACTTTGAACTACACTTTCAGACACATCTATCGGAATTCAGTGTTATAAGTTTCAACGGCCAATAGCAAAAGTATAATTAAGTTAGGTTTAGCAATAATCTACGAGTATATATATAAAACTCAAAGGTGACTGACTGACATAGTGATCTATCAACGCACAGCCCAAACCACTGGACGGATCGGGCTGAAATTTGGCATGCAGGTAGATGCTATGACGTAGGCATCCGCTAAGAAAGGATTTTGATCAATTCTAACCCTAAGGGGATAAAATAGGGAATGAAAGTTTGTATGAAGCTTTGTCAATTTTAAACCGATCGGGCTGAGACTTTGCATACAGGTATAAGAAGAATCATAGATGAATGTCATTGTGTATAATACAAGCCTGAGAACAAAAACTGTAGTCTACACTTCAGCTCTACACCGAAGCGAAGCGAGGGCGGGCCGCTAGTTATATATGTTTCTCAGGTTTTCAAATCATTCATTAATTAAAACAAGTTTCAACGGGCTAGATGCACTGATTTTATTTATTTATTGACGTTTCGCATCCTTTAAAGGAATGCATCGTCAGAATAATGATTTTTTATTTACTTTGTCGAGCTACCTTCGAAAGACTTTTATTGAGCGTTCGGATGTTTCATTTAAAGATTTTTAAAACTTTATTGTCTACGTATGAATTTATTTGCTAATTTAATTAATTAAGTTCTTTATTTAATTCTAACTACCGTAAATTACCACCAGTTCCAAACTTGGGATACCTTTCTGAGAAGAACTGGCGAAACAAACTCAGAGAGGCTTTCTGTCTCCTTCTAATGTTAAATCATGCAAACAAAAAGAACTAATTGTATCTGTTGGTCTTGCAGTGTGTGCTCGGGGTTGGGATTTTATCTGTTGTATAATGGGTTCCCAAGCTGGTGGTATATACCAACCATCTTCCCTATTGAAATTTGGATATTTCTTAATCTCAATAGCAAAATCATATAGATGAAATCTTAAAATGGCCGATAGATGTCTCCAGAAGTATAGTTCAAAGCGCGTTTATATTTGTTTGTACTTTGTTCTTGATGTTTCAGATTTCAGACGCTTTTTATACCCGTTCGGAAAGTGATTTGGTAAATAATAGTGAAACTCTTTAACAACCTCAATATTTCTCTTACAGGATTTAACGAGGATCCTACAGTGACGAGAAACATTCCAGAACGTAAAAAGATATTACAATGTGTATGTATATACAAATATATATATTATGTTTTATTTTTTAAGAGATATAAAAGTTATAGTAAATGACGAAAATCTCTCAAAATCAACCATTTTCTTTTTATTTGTTATTTAAGCGTATTTTTTACGTTTTTTTTTCGTAATATGTTGGGCGGAAAAATGTTTGCCAGCCCTGATATTTTACTTATATTAATCATTTTTTTAATATAGTAAAACTTTTATCATGATTTTACAATTTAATTAATAACATTTAGATATATATATATATATATATATATATATATATATATATATATATATATATATATATATATATTAATTTGTTTCTTAGGTTTTCACGCACACCACTCATTAAATTAAACAATTTTCAACGGTATATAGATGGACTGATATGTATTTATTCATCATTTTCAGGCTGCGTCGTCTGAATTAATTCGCAATGCGAAACATCATAAATAAATCAGTCCATCTATACCGTTGAAACTTGCTTTATTTAAATATATACAGGGTGTAAAAAAACCTATGACCAAGACTAAAACTACGTATTCTGTACACCTAAACAAGTAATATTACAAAATATTATACGTGGGAAACATTTGTATTTTTAAGTTAAAAAAATTAACAATTTTTTTTCCAGTACACAATAGGGAAGATGCAATATTTTTATTTTTGTTTTCATTTTAAAGAATTCCAGGTAGAATAAACCACAGATATATTAAAAAATTAAAACATTGTGATTTATCGGAAAAAATGCGGTTTTAAATTGACAATTTAAATTTTCGCGCGAAAACGAACCTATGGTTGCGATGACGTCACTCCTGTCTGTCACTGGTCGTACTTGTTCGTTGCTGGCTTTAAATTTTCATACTTTTGCATATTTTTTCGACTTTCGAAATTTTTTTTTTGAAAAGTTTAAAATGGACTATGCATCAACATCATGTGATGATAACAATACCACTAATATTCCGAAAAAAAACCGTGTTGACTCATGTTTTGTGCCAATCTACTTCAACAAAGTTCCCAAATAAATTGTTTTTGACTGGAACTTCTGACCCAAAACTGAAAAAAATGGTTTCAAGCTGCGAAGAGAAATAACAATTATTCTCCAAAGACCATTATTCGATGCTGAGAAGATCACTTTGACGTAAGTCGGCGAATATACTTGTTATATGCTTAATTAATCTGCTTGTACGTAAAAACGCATTAGTAACCTACCTAATATTTACAAAACCTGTCTATAACATATTTTTAATTTTACAGTTGGAGAATGACGACGAAAATTAGATAAAGTTTAAAATGTGTGGCACAATCTTCACATTGGCAGGACTGAACCAAGCTTTGCGTTTCATTTAAAATAACTGTAACACGATATCCTTCTTTCTGCTCCGGAGAACTCTACCTTCTACTGTACATAATTCTCCATCTCTTTTAATTTGAACATAGCCGATTGCATTATCGCCGTAAGATTTGTAGAAGCCGCTGAATAAAATACGAAGTTTAACAACTACGATTTTTACATACCGTAGTAATTTAGTCCCTTTCATTTCTACACTTAAAAACTCTGCACTTTGGACAAAAAAAGTTATAACCATGTCAACGCTAACTCTTGGTAAATTCCTGGAGTCTGCTTTGATAAACGCAACTTCCATTTTTACTAAATGTAAAAAAACGCAATGAATATTCCCATAAAATAATATTTACTTTAACAACCATAACCTCAAAGAAGTTGTCATAACAGGAGTGACGTCACTAAACGCTGATTGGTGTTTTAAAATACGTTCCGTTTCAAGTATTTTTAATTCGTAATAATTGTTAAAAAACAACATTATGTAAAATAAAAACGTTGCAGTGGCATTTCTTTTATATTTTTTTAACATTTTAATCATAAAATTTTCATAAATATTATATATGCATCTTCCCTATTTATAGCGCGGGGTGCCACTGTGGCGCTACGCAAACAGTGTGCCTGTGTGTATGTGTAAGTGCGTCGATAAAAAAGTATCTACACAAGATTTTTGTAAAAATCTTGAAAAAAAATTTGTGAGTTTGACCTTCAATATCTCCATAACCATAAGTTTCCCAGGTATGGTCCACAAGAAAAAAGTGATCGTCATGATGTGGAAAATACGTTGCCTTCGACTTCATTAAAGGTTTTTTTACACCCTGTATATTTTATAAAAAAAGAATGCCTTCTTATGAATCATTTTTTTGCAATATTATTATTACAAATAAAATAAATGTCAATTATCAAACATTTAATGATTATTGTGTTGTTCTGTTTTTTTACAGTTTAATTATTTGTTGTATAATTTTACATTATATTCATTTGTTTTTTTTATGCATGCAATTTAGGGATGGTGAACATTTTTAACTTGTGGTTTTTCCTTTTGCCGACATGGCTGTATGTGATTGATTTAATGTTATAATTGTGTTCAATTTAAATTGTACAATCTTTAAACACTACTTTTAAAGTTTGACATTTAAAATCAAACAGTACTATTAGGAGAGTACTGTCCAATATCTAATTTAAAGAATGCATGCCAAAATCGAAATTGAAAACTCTAAATTCATATAAACAGAAATGTTCTCTTTAGCAAAATACAAAAAAAAACATTAAGTCCAAAATAACATAAAGTTGTGTACTAATTGAGAAATATTTAGCTACTAGGTAAACAATTATCGAAGATTCTCAAACGGTTTAGAACTGATGTACCCTTAGCACGAAACAGTATCGAATTCGTATCGTTTGCGAGTGCGAAATGTCATTGTCAAATGTGTACTGATTTTTAGTTCTCGTTACGTACGTTATGGCGCTGTTGTTCAACTTTTCATTCAAAATTTGACAATGACATTTCGGACTCGCAAACTATTCGAATTCGATAATAGTTCGTGCTAAGGGTACTGTATTGTAAATCTATTGATGATAAACTTTAGTCAATAAATTGGTCCACTGTGTCTACTTGAGTTACGAAGACACAATTATGGACAAAATTTTAAAGATTATACCACGTGAATATCTCAAAAACGGTGGCTCGTAGGAAAAAAGATATTGATACATTTTTTGTAGATAATTTATGATCTACAATTTTTATCTGTGGTATTTTTATGATTAAACTTAGCGTTTTGCTGAAAATCGCGAAAAACTTATTTTTTTGACCTTTGAGATTGAATAAAAATTTTTGCATGCAGGGGAACTTTCAGATTTTAATTTTTAATTATATTTTAAACAATCTTACTGATTTTCAGCTTGGTGGGATAGATTTAGGTAGCTATACTCTTATTTTTTTTTTTAATTTTTTGGTCTTATTTGACCGGACTAAAGAGCCTATTTACCCTAGGTTATAATGTATTCGGAAATACAGACGCAGCTAGGCGATTTCAATCCTTCAGTGTTTGAGAAGCGTCTGATGCTAAGGGGAGGCACAGCAACCAAGTAAGGGGGGTAGAAGAGGAAAGGTGGAGTGGTTTCAGAGATTGTACAATATTGAAATGAATATAGAAGCATTATCTCTTTCTTAAAACATACACAATGCGGTCTCTAGTTAATATAATTAATTACAATTTCACGGTGCATTATTATTTATGGATATTATACCAATAGTTTGTATAAGCATGAAACATATTATAATATTTATTTTGTGGTCTCTAAGAGGTAGATATTATAATGTGTAGTAGCTCATTTTAGAAATCATAAAAAAATATTTTTTTAAATATTACAAAAAGCGTAAAAAGATTTTTGTAATTCTTTTTTTTATAATGTTTTAAAGAGGTGCATTATTAATTCATTATTTTCGTTAATATTACAAGTAGATTTAGACTGGAAATTTTCTGAAAGTGTTTTTATAGACTTTTATTTGTTTGCAATAAAGTTGAAAATCGATTTTACAATGTGATATTGATGGTTTCGTTCATTAACTTTTATAAAAGCTTGATATTTTTTTCGATTATGAACGGTTATATTCTTGCTATTAAAAGATTTTCTGCAATCAATAATAGTCCGAATTTAGCTATCAATTTCAATTGTGAAACGGTTTTTAACATATACTTTATACATTTTACGTAAACTAGTTTCTAAAAACTAATTTGAAGATTTTAAGAGATATTTTTATAATTATTACCCTTTGTTTTTGGATTTAATCGTTTTTATGTGAAATTTAGCAAAGATTCAAGCATCATGTTGTTCATTCTGAATAAAAAGTATTTTCAATGGCACTCCTTTTTCACATAAGCATAAATATGGTGACAAAATCTTTGGTGCAAGAACTGTGTGAGGTGATTGGGTTATGGGTATAGATAGACTTTGCAAACAAAGATTTTCTTTTATTCCTTTCGTGTAATAATAAAGTGTGTTTATAAACTATGCGTTGACACATTTTTTTTTTATATTTTTATAATAAAATATTATATTGATACTCGTTTTATGAGATTTAATACAATCCAAAGTAGTTACTTTTATAAAGTTTTTGTTTTTTAATATTTTTTATTAGTTAATGAAAAAAAATACAAAAAAAAAACAAAGTTTGTAAACCAAATACCTGAAACCCTACCACCCCACATATGCACAATCAAAAGTCATTTTAAAGTCGCCGTCGTATCTTTATTTAAAATCTTTTTCTAGTTTTTTGTGAAACTTCGAATGCCTAAAACAATAATATCTACCTTAAGACTCGACAATTTGTTATTATTATTTTATTATTTATATAAAACAGTACAAAATCTAGTCTATCGCTAGCATGAAAATAAATGGCTTTGAGTTAAAATAATAAGAAAAAATTATATATACATACACAGCTATATGGCATGTATATACAACAAATTACAAACGCGAAAAGATTAGATTTTAAAAGAGAAAGTACTAAATTTATTAATTATTATAATATGTAAAATAAAATTTGTAAAAAGCTGTGAGAGTGTAAAATCGAATAGTTCTATCGTCTTGGTTGGGATACAGTATATATAGAATAATATATTTTTTATATGTTACCATTATAAATATAATTTTACCGTTTATTTAATAGGTTTTTCTGTTTATAAATTACAAATTATATCATTTTGCAATTGTGTAAATCATTGAGATATATTTTTTTCCTTTATCTTTCTTGTCATATTAATTATGTTATACATATATATGTATATTTAAATTAAGTGCGTCAGAATAAATGTAAAGTTACCAATTATATTATATTTATGATGTGTGTTGGTTGTCATCTTTTGTTCCGTGCAACATTAAGACATTGGAAATCAATGCATGCATTTTTAACTGTTTTATTTCATATTTCCTAAAATGTTCCGATTGACAAGACCTCTAAAACCTATATACCTTATATTGCGTTTTTTTATTA